TTAAACGCTTTTAGGCTTACTTCAAAGCCTGTTCTTTTCTCTTTCAAACAAACTATTATCCTTGTCTCCAATGCTAGTAATAATTGCACAGGAAAAGATTTAGTAAAACCTATCATTTTTAGTTGCTGTTTAATTATGCAGGTTTACTATGTTATTGTTTAGTCGGTTTAAATGTTAGAATTTTCTTCTTTAAACTTTAATGTTGTCGTCATTACATCTGGAAAACCACGTAAGAACAAATTAAAAGTATTTTAAAAGAGACCATGTTGTTTGAAAATCCTAAACGAATGCTAAAAATCCTCAAAACATTCTGGTGTCTGAGCCAGAGTGTCATCGAATTGCGATGTAATGTAAACAGAAATTATAGCAAGTATCAGTCAGTCAGCTTAGATCGGGTCCAACCCAAAATTATATCGCATTTGAAGTTTCAAACTGAGTTAAAAATAGTGGAAGAAAAGCCGTAATTATACTTATTGTTACAATCCATTTAATAAAATGCAACATTTTTTGTTTTAATGAAAAAATCAGTTATTTTCATGAGAACGATTTGTTATTCCATCTCAATTTTTTTAATCTCCAATCGCAATAACGTAAAGTATTATTACCCGCGAACCAATGAGTCAAATTTAAGAAACAACCCACTGTTAGAAAGCTGAATGGATACGCTTTAAAATGAATGTAAACTTTAACGTTTTCGTCTATTATTTGTTTAGCAATTTACATTTCAGTCGAGGATTGCGCTTTTTTTGATACACCCTGTAGACTAAATTTTGATCCAGATAAAAATTTCATCACAGCTTGAAAGAGCATCACAAAATTAGTAATATTCCAAAGTTTCGTTGCGAAATGTTGTAAAATGCGGATAATATAGCCATGCGAAGTTTGCCGTTTTTCAGTCATTTTGTATTACGCACGGGAAATTGACAGCCCAATCGGGTGTTGGGGCATCAGTTTCCCGATTGTGATACAAAATGACTGAAAATTGCAAAGTTCGCAAGGCTATATTATCCGCATTTTACAACATTTCGCAACGAAACTTTGGAATATTACTAATTTTGTGATGTTCTTTCAAGTTGTGATGAAAATTAATTCTTGTCTAGATCAAAATTTAGTCTATAATGCAAATGGTCCATTAAAAATCTGCTAGATTTTAGCAAATCACGTGATCAGCTCCTATCAGGGTCTTTCCTCCACAAGAAGCAAGAGCCTGGGAACAAGATTGGTTAATACTATCGACAATATAAATGCAATAAAATCGGATATCAATCTCAACATCAAGAGCATGTAAATGAGAAAATATTACAATATATTCAGCTTTAATTTTGATATCGTAGTTAAGGTATTTAGTAACTAACCTGAGTCGACTAGCATCTTTGGCCTTGCTGCCATAGCTGATTCTGGAATGGTTAGCTGAATGTTTAGTTTTTGGTTGACTTGCAACCCATGAAGCTTGAGAGGATGCTTTCACACTGTGGGATCTACGAAACAATTGCAAAGTAGAACTTCACTATTAATATCCAGATGAAAAGTTGAGTTCAATGGAAAATCTTTGATAATATTATGTCCTTGTACATAATATTATCAAAGATTTTCCATTGAACTCAACTTTTCATCTGGATATTAATAGTGAAGTTCTATTTAACAATTATTCACCGAAGGCGAGGTGATTATCGGTGAATAAAATCCGAGACGAAGTCGAGGTTTTTATTCACGATAATTACCGAGCCTGAGGTGAATAATTGTTTTAGTATAATTTCATAGGTGATTATTTAGAAAAAAATAAAAAATACATGTTTCTTCGTCATTTAATTGACAAAACGGCTTCGGGATGGTTTCTCATGTGAACACCAATTGAAATGTATACGTCAATAACTCATTCAGGTGCCTTTCCCGGGTTAATAGCTGCATGTGGGTTCATACACACAGATCCTTAGTTAACAACTTAGTATTATCAAACCGCGAATCTTTCATTTCGCCCAAAACAGTGTGACATTTCGTGTTAAAATATCCAGGAATGCGACTACATTCCTAACGTCGTGAAATCGACAATTCGTAAATGGCAACATCTCATTGGTCCGCGGGAAATTGTGCTGAGATTAGCTAAAAATAGTTTGACAGTTTAGCAGCAAAAGGCTCGATGATTAAATATTTTTCTGAAACCTACCATCTTTTAACATTTAGCTTTCTCTTCGGCTTTTGAGGTACTGGATGCAATTTTGTCGTTTTTGCACTAGGCGCATTGGAATGTAGTCGCGTTCCTGAATGTTTTGACACGGAAATAAGATATGTTTTTCTCGGGCGAAGAACCACCCTGGGTTTTGGTAGTGCAACTTAGTTAATCAACAACACTTCAAAGATGCAAATAAAACACAAGGGCCCCGATTTGCCGTCTGTTATTTTTGGCCGCCTAGTCGTACGACATAACCGGGCAAGCACTTACTCTTGAAATTCATCCTCGCTATTTTCCTCTCCATCTGTTGGTTCCTCATCTAAAACATCCTTACGTTTCCTCTTGGTTTGCTGAGAACCTCGAGGTTCTTCTTGTTGTTCTTGTTCGCTAGGTATAGGTGAAGCTTCAACTGAAGACGGTTGTTCCTCGTCTTCTTCTTGAAGCCTAGTTTGCCCTTTTGTATTGGATTTTCTTTTTGCTGGGGTTTTTCCACTTGATGCGCCTCCTTTAGAACCTAAAGGAAATAAAATGAGTACAAATAACATAATACGAAAACTTACAGCACAACTATAACGACGTGTTCAGAGATTTGGCGCGTAGAGAAAATTTTGACATTTTAACAATATCTGAAACATGGCTAAACACCAGTGTTTCGTCTGCCGAAGTAAGGATAGACGGATATAATCTTTTCAGATTGGATCGTCTTAATAAACGCGGCGGTGGTGTATGCACGTACGTTCGCAAAGAACTTAAATCATCTGTTTTAAAATCCTTAACTTTCATTTCCGAAGAAAATTTCCATCAACTATGGATAAATGTCCAGTG